AATGCATAGCCAGAATTTGCAGGCAGATCCAAAGCGGCATCCTAACATGAGGTTTGGGTATATCTGTGCTGTGCCTGTTAGGAAAAAGAGAAAAATCAGGTTTTACTCTACTTGGTCACTTTTGTAGAGATTAATTTTTTCAAGGCATTGAAACACTTTACATCCAGTGACCAATTAAAGATTAATACTATACAAATACCTTTTCAGTGATGATTCACATTCCTTATCTTGCTCCTTTTTATTAAAGAAACCAGCAAGGGTTCTTTATTGGGGCACACATTTTTGAGCTGATTTTTGTCTATGGATGTAAATACGCTACTATTTTTTTACTTCAGTGAAGTTGTTCTAAATTATTTAAAGAGGACCTTTACCCATATCTTAAAAAACAAACACACCTTTTAGAAATGCCTAGTAATTGCAATCTACAAACAGGTACTTCTAGATAATTGCTGGCTTTTTAATTCCTTGCATACCTTATTTCGCTTTTCCTCACCACTCTTCTCACAGTGGCCATGTTAACTAAGGGCAGATTACTATTATATCTCCCTTTTTACTTTCCGGAACTCTGGCACATGTGACTAGGACAAGTGACCATGCACCTCATCTCAAGGGAGGAAAATGCCTTTCCCCGAGATCTCATGAGTTTTCCCAGCAATGCTCTGCTGATGTAACCTTCCCAGGATGCAACACTTTGGCACATTACATAATTTGTGCAAAAACTGGACCAGAAAGTAGATGAACTCTATTTGTAAATAAATGAAAAACAAGTTTAACTAATGAATATAAGAAGATTTTAAATCGGCATGCAGATTTTAAGGGAAAGAGGGTAAAGGTCCACTTAACAGTTTATATAAAAAAAACTGTTGCGGGAAAGTTCTTATTTTTTTTTTTTTATATATATTAGATTTTTAGATGGCCAAGTCATAAATTGAGGTGTGTGTGTGTTTCTAGACATTGGTTGCACCTTTAAAATAAAAATTAAAAAAATGAATAAGCTTGCTTGTGCCAAATCTGTAACACCCATTTTTTTTTCTCATATTTTTTTACTTATTTATTTTTGGTGAGATTATATTCTAGAACCATGGCTGGCTTGTATTTGTATTTTATATTTTAGGTTGATGTAATTGTTTTTTACAAATTGGTTTCCTGAACTTTGTGAATACATGTTTTAAAACTGCTCATCTATCTTTTTTTCCAGCTTATTTATGCAATTCATCTCCGCCACATGTGCTCATTTTTTCACCTATTTGTTTTTTATCCTTTTAAACAAGGAAAGGAAATCTATGCATTGGAAAATATCTCCTTATATGCAGGACAGAGTAGAAAAGTAAGATGACAAACAGGGAAAGAAGCCATCTGATGCTTAACATGTAGGAGGTCACTAACAGCTGCTGGTGCCTGTGAGTGCACTTGAGCATGGCCTGGTGGAGAAACAAACATAGGGAGAGGTAAATGGGGGAGAAGTTTGATAAATGCCTTGCCTGATGGCTGTTGGATAGGGGTAATTTAGCTCAGATGGGTTCCAGCAGCCCATGAATCAAAAGCTGTCAGCATAGGGCTAAAGATAGAGTGAGGAGCATTGTACATGTGCCTCCCTGTGACCCTTGCTGGCCTAGAGGTCAAGTGAGCTAGATATTTCTAAAGAGTTGATTTAGTTCAGTAGTCAGTGGTGTTTTCTGGCTGTTGGGAAGAATGTTTGTTTACAAGAGGTGTGCTAATGCAATTTGAAATATACTATTTATATAGCTTACAAAACTCATGTCAAAGTGCTCTTCCATTAACCCTTACAATAGTGCTGAGGATACCTTCATGATTCCAAATGATTGCAGCTGTGTCCTTTTACAATAGCTCTTTTGCTGTGGTACCTAAACGCAATCATTTAATTTTATACTTTAAAGTTTGTGGCCAGGGCAAGGGATTCTTTCTGGTGTTTGGGACAGCCACTGTCTGATTCAAGCCTTTTTGTAGTGAAACTTCTGCCCCTGTTCTATACAATTGAACTGGAAGTCATTACAGTAATTCTGGTGGTTCCAGACTGGCAGCTTCAGAGCTAGTATGCGGACATCATTCATTTGGTCTCAGATGCCCTATGGTGCCTACTATTACATTCTGATCATCCATCCTGTTTTACTATCGCTGACTTTAACCACTTCAGGTGAGTGCACGTTAGGGCTGCAACAACTAATCGACATAATCGATTATAATCGATTATTGAAAAAGTTGTCAACTTTTTCAATAATCGCTTAATCGGCTTCCGATCAGTTGGCCCTGTTCACAGCTCCACACGCTGTGCGCCGTACCTCCTCAATACATAGGAATACAAATCCCACCAATACATTATACACTGTATGTATAATGTATTGCTGGGATTTGTTGTACTCTTCTATAGCTGGTGATATTCTGCATTGCACGGTATAATGTACTATTGCTGGGTTTTGTTGTACTCTATAGCTGGTGATATTCTGCATTGCGCTGTATAGAGGACTACAAATCCCAGCAATAATACATTATACAGTGGTGCAATGCTGAATACCACCAGCAATAGTACATTATACAGCGCAATGCAGAATGCCTGCAGCTGTTATGTACTATTGCTGGGATTTGTTGTATTCCTCTATAGCTGGTGGTATTCTGCATTCATTGCTGTATAATTTTACACTTTCTTGTACTATTGCTGGGTTTTGTTGTACTCCTCTATAGCTGGTGATATTCTGCATTGCGCTGTATAGAGGACTACAAATCCCAGCAATAATACATTATACAGTGGTGCAATGCTGAATACCACCAGCAATAGTACATTATACAGCGCAATGCAGAATGCCTGCAGCTGTTATGTACTATTGCTGGGATTTGTTGTATTCCTCTATAGCTGGTGGTATTCTGCATTCATTGCTGTATAATTTTACACTTTCCATTTCACTATATTGCACACCACACTATCTCTTTCTTTTTTACTTCCACCGCTCCAAGCTTGCTCCTGTGATGGACTACAACCTCAATACAAACTAGTAGTCCCATCACTGGAGCCTTTTTTTAAACTTTATTTTATTGTTTATCCGATTAACCGATCGAACCTAATAATCGGCTAACTAATCGATTTTGAAAATAATCGTTAGCTGCAGCTCTAGTTCACGTAAATACACGTCACCTGCTTGAAGTGGTTATACCAAGAAAACCGCTGCTGTTGCAGCCATGTTCTTGGCATCATTTTAAAACAGCAGGCGATTTGCTGTTTATGTACAAGCAATCCAGCATCTGTACAGCGCTGTGTGCCCCCTTACGGCCGCCGGCAGCTTCCCTGGGCTCTGCTGTCCCCCCATGCGGGCCCGGAACGGCCACGGCGTGTCTCCTGTCAGATAGTGCTGCCCCCTTCCCCGGGCTCCTCTTTACCCCGTGCGGGGCAGGGGACTGACACAGCGGGACTCCTCGCAACGCTTGGAAAGAGATCGGCAGGCTTCCACCTGTTGATCTCTCCTCCCCATCACTGGACCCGGAAGTAATGTGTATTACTTCACTTCCCGTGTCTGTTTATATTCTCTAGCTCTTTGAAGCCAGGAGAAGAAACTGGTGAAGCAGATCTCTGCTTCAACCGTTTATTTGGGGTCCCTGATGTCTTCGTAAAGAGGACTTGTCACATCCTATTTGCGATTACATAGGGGAGTTATTAGCTTCCTATGTGATGGCAATTATATTCTTTCTCTAAGACCGTTGCCCACAGCATGAAGCCTTATTGAGCAAGAATGTGCATAAAGCAATGATTGTGTACAAAGTGCAGTAATCCATACCAACCACATTATTTTTATTCATAAAAATCATGTGACAACAGGAATTGGAAATTTGGTTGCTATAATTTATTGCACCACATGTTACATATTGCCATGAACATTGGAGTGAGAGCAATAATTCTAGGGCCATCAATCTCTGGTAACACTAAACTGAACACTAAACTAAAAGCTTTTAAAGCGTTGCATATGGGAAATTTGGGGTATTGTAGTTTTTTGCAGTTTCACAGGGAAACACAATTTTAAGGCTTGACATGTTTGGTATCTATTTACCCGACTTGACCCCGACTTTTATATTTTACCAAAAAATTAGGTATTATATTAGGGAAGCTGGCTCCATGTTCCCCCATGGCAATGCCGGTCAGAGGAAATCTTCCTCTGACCAGAAGTCAAGGTATCGGAGCATTTGGGCGAGTACTCGCACTTGCCCAAATACTCGGTATCGGCACAGATACTAGTATCGGTGCATCCTTACTTCTCACTTTACAAAAGCTTTGTGTGTGTCTTGCGCTTTTCATCATAATGCCCATTTGTTTCTGAAAATTGTAAGGTGACTACCGGGGTCATCTGTTCATACTTTTACCAAGCTCTGCAACAGTTGCTGTTGCGGCATCTGCAGATGCTAGCTATGGCCATAAGGTTTTGCGGGGTGTGTTGTGAGTATTCATGCCATAATTGTGGTTATACTGTTCGTGTTTTCTCTGTTTTGACCCATCCTCTGTCTGACACTGCTTTGGGCCATCCAGTTGGTCAGTATCTAAAGATCCAGCTGTGTCCTTCAATGAATAGAAGAGAAAATAGTATTTATGTACTCGCCGTAAAATAATTGTCTCTACATTCATTGAAAGTCGCAGCACCTCCCCTCAATTTTGTGACTATGCTGCGCTTGCCTTATCCTATATGCTGCTTGCTACTAACTGAGCTTTTTTCTATTTTTTCTGTATTTTGGTTTCTGATTTTTTCATATATCCTAGCGCAACTACCTTGGTCACTAACTGAGCTGGTTGCTGCAGATGAGGGGTTTGGTCAATCACAGAGGCTGTCCCCTGGGTGTCTTATTGTCTGTACCTAGCATCACACAGGTCAAGATCTAAAGATCTAGCTGTGTCTTTAAATAAAAGCACAGAAAATTATTTTACAGTGAAAACATATTTCATGCAGTTTGTAGTAATAGTTTGTATTGCAACTTACATCTTCACATTTTTTAAACCCACACAGACTGAAGATGATGAAAAGCTCAAGAAAAGGAAGGAACGGTTTGGTATAGTGACGAGCTCTGCCTCCCTTTCCGCTGATGTTGAGGTATGTTTGCTCACTATTCATTTTGGCATTCCTCTCTGCCTCCCACCCGCCTATGCCAGCCTGATCACAAATGTTAAGCCGAGGGGGGGCACTTTTCACCCAAAAAAATGGGCTGAAAATCTCGGCTTATACTCGAGTATATACGGTAAGAAAAAAATACCTTCATTACAAAAAAAACAAACTTAAAGGTGTGAAGTGCAGCAAGAGCCATAGCGCACTTGCACTTCAAACTTTATACTCAAATGGGGCAGTTGCATAATGTACATTTCCATGCTAACATTTTGTAACTATATGGAAAGTTCCCCAAATATGTGCAAAAATTGCAGCATGTAAAGCTGGGTACGCACCGTCACTTTTTTTTTTTCTTCAAGGCTGTGTGTGGATGAAGGTATCTCCCGCTGTGTATATTGTATTCTGACAGTGGTGCCAAATCCAGTGATTTATCTGAATGACCCAACAGTGGATCTAATGTAGAGGAGATAGGGTCACCTACAGACCAAAATTCGCTTCGCGTATTCCCAGCTTAACTCCTATGCAACAGTTTGTAATATAACCCACCACAGGAGGACTAAAGGAAGCAGCAAAATTGTTGGTTTTCTTCTATGCGATTCCTGGTCAGAAATTCAGTTGAGTGTTTTAAAAACCAGAGTCATAACAAATTCTGTAAATACCTTTTACACATTTCTTTGATCATATTTAATGAAAGCCTTTAGTTTGATGCAAACTAAAGAATAACTTCACTAGTCTGAAAACTCAACATCAGGTAGAATTTTAGTGTCCATCTGGGCAAAAACAAATCCACATTCAGTACATCTCAATGCATGCACATTTCCCATGTTTTATCCCTTTCAAATGCTGCAGGTAGAGAAAAATACCTGTTGTTCTGCCAGGAACCCAGTGTGCTCCTAACTTCCTGTTTTAGCTGACCAACACTGCAGTACTGTAAGCTCTGCTCATTTCTCTTCTGGACTACAAAATCCTTCCCGCCTGCTCAGATCTATGACATATAGGGGTAGTCTTTTGTAGCCCAGCATGGGAGAATTCAGGGACGGCTGACTGACACTTCTTGAGATGTCAGTGCAGCAGAGGGAACGTTTCCAGCTTTATGGAAAGATCAACCGGTATTTTTATGTACTTGCAGTGCTTTTAGAGACATAATATAGGGAAATGTTTGATTTGCTGAGGTTTAATGTATGAGGGTTTTTTTTTAATTTATTTTGCCCAGACATACACTTTAAACCATTGTGTAGGAAATATTGGTGACTGCTTTATATATGGGTTTCAGATCTGTCCCGTGAAATAGATCTTCATCTGCTTGGTGAAAGCACAGTGCTAAATCAAGATGTGTAGCAGGTGCCAGTTTGAGGGCATCACCCCATTGAAGCATTTGAAGAGGCTAAACTGAATTCAGCAGATGTTATTTTCACATCACTAAATCCGTGTTTCATAAATCTGATTTACATTTTTTTTACAGTTTAGTAAGTTCCTAGTGTTAAGTTTCTAAAGCCAATTTGTAAACTTGTATGTCGCACAAATATATTTTGAGGCACTACATGGGTTCCTTAATACTTTGTTGCCTTGCACGGGCAGTAAAAACACAGCTGGAAGTAGATGATGTGTTTGTAATGTAACTCATGCAGTGGCTTGTAAAACTGGAATGTGAGGTCAAATATGCAATCCTGCTGGATTCTGGTTACCTTGCTAAAAAATGTGAGGGCTTCTGTCAGAAGTGTGAACTCTATGCCACAGAGACCAAGAGCCTTTCTAACAGCCTCAGGTGGGGGAATGCTGGCCAATTAGTCCCTATCGTGGGTCAAAGGGCACCTAAGTGGGAGCTGCTAAGAGTGGGGGAAGTGAGAACAGGAAGCAGTGTCCATAAAGCGCTGTATGCCAGCTGTGTAATACCTCATTGAGCTTCTTTACTGCTGCTTTCACATGGTCTATAATAGTTTAATGAAGAGCCGGCATTTTTTTATTTTGTGAACGTAAGTCTCCAGATCGGACTTTCTATACTTGAGTGTTTATATACCCTGTGTTTTTTTATTATAAAATTTTAGTCAAATTCTTCTGCTTTTTACATAGTAAACTGGAGCCTTTTGCATCAGTCCCTGCTTGAGTGGACTTTTATATTCCCTATTAGACTTTTACAAGGGCTCACAGTTAAAGTGACCATAGACGGGGCACTCAGTGTCTTCTAACCCACATCTAGGGGGGTGTCAAATTTATTATTTCATTTTTTTTACTATTTCACTGGCAAGCAGACCTGATACGGATAATAAAGGGTTCCTTCCATTTCCATAGAGAAGATGGGAGCATTTGGTTGCATAGATTCTTTTTGTCTTGCAAACTACACACAATGCTTGTTCTACCACTCTGAAGCAATTATTATTTTTTATTAGAAGTTTGTTAACCCTTACAACTGATGCTCATACCTTTTAAGCATTGCTGGCATATATAATTACAATTCTTTACATAGCACCAACATATCCTGCAGAGCGGTACAATAGTTTAGACAAGTAAGAAACACTGACATGCATCATTGACATACAGATACAGTAGGTGAGGAGGACCTGCTCAAACGAGCTTACAGTCTAAAAGGAAGATGACCAAAGACACAGGTTGGGAAGGTGAGACTACAGATGTTTACCAAATAAAATGGGAGGGGATTTGGGAGTACTGTGAAACAGGAGCAGAAGCGAAGGTTGTATAGGGTGAGAAATCAAAGGGAGAGATGATACGCTTCTCTAAAGAAGTGTGTTTTTGATGGATTTTTTAAAATCCTTGTAGGGAAAGTGAGATGTGGCATGGAAGAGAATCCCATAAGGTGGGGGAAGCCCTGGTGATAACCTGTAGATTGAGAGTTGGGTGTGTGGGTAAGCGAGCAGAATAGTCTCAAGTCATTGATGAAACGAAGGAGCCGATTTGAAGTACATCTTCTAATTAGGGATGAGATGTATCCTAGGGATGAGATGTAGGTGTATCCTAAAACAGGAAGCCAGTACAGAGATTGACAGAGGGGTGACGTATGAGAGTAGCGAGTCTGGCTGAAGCGTTCAAGATAGATTGAAGGGGGATGCACGTTTCAGGCCGATGAGAAGGTTGCAGGAGTCAAGTCAGGAAATGATTAGCGCATAACAAGCATTTTGGTGGTTTCCTCAGTGAGAAAAGGTTGAAATCGAGAGACGTTTTTCTGAAGAAAACAGCACAATTTAGTGATAGAGTGAATGTGATTGGAAAGGAGGGGTCAAAGAGCACGCCAAGGCATCGTGCCTGTGGAGTAGAGGAAATGGTAGCTCCACCAACCTGAAGATAGATGGACGTGGGGGGTGGGGGACATGTTCATTTTCAAACGGCGGATAGACAATCAGTTACACAAGCCAACAGATTAGGGGAAAGGTCCGGTGAGGAGAGGTAGATATGAGTATCATCAGCATAGAGGTGGTAAAGAAAGCCGTATGATGACATAAGGTTACTAAGAGAGGCGGTCTAGAGTGAGAATAGAAGATGACCCAATACAGAACCTTGTGGGACTCCAACAGAGGGGGAACTGGAGCCAGAGAAAGTAACGCTGAGGGAACAGTCGGGAAGAGAACCAGGCAAGAGTTCAGTTCAGGTAGTTGGAGTTCAGGTAGTCTGTGAGTTGGGTATACACCAGTCTTTCAAGGAGTTTGGAGGCAATGGGAAGAAGAGGTATGGGGTGATTAGCTAGATAAAGCTTCAGGGTTAGTATGGGTGTGATGAGGGCATGTTTGAAGGAAGAGGGAAAGATGCTGGAGTCAAGAAAGATTCAAGATTCTGGTGAGAGAAGGAACAATCACAGTAGAGACAGGACGGATGTATAAGGTGTGATGGAGTGGGGTCGAGGAGACAGGTTGTAGGAGAGGAGAAGAGCAGAAACCTCTACTTCGGAAACTTGGGAGAAGACACTGAGGGAAGAGGAACTGACTGGACAGTAAGGGAGGCGATTTTCAGGTCGAAATATTAATTTTCTCTGTGAAAAATGATGCTAAATTTGTAGCAGAGAGGTTCGTAAAAGGGGGAGGAGTGCGCATTAGTGAATTGAAGGTTTGAAATGGTCGCCTCGAGTCATGAGAGAAGGTGGAGGTAAAATATGTTTGCTTGGCTAGGGACAGAGCAAGACTAGGTTCGTAGCATGAATTTGTAGTGTAGGAAGTCAGAACCCTAGAGCACCTTTTGGAGGTAACGGGTGCAGGTAGTATGCCAGGGTTGGCGTCCAGGTTGACCGACAGGACGGGATGTGATGGGGTATAGTTTTATCTAAAGTGGTAGAGATGGGAATAGTTATGAAGGGTAGTGGATGTGGAGGGGCAGGTGGAATTATAGATTGGTGAGAGGAGAGGGTGAAACTCTAGGGAAAACTGCAGCATATTTTGAGTTCTGAGGGACTGAGCAGTGTCATAGAGTGGGTGGGCAAGGGGCAGAATGATATCACAACTTAGAAGATGGTGATCAGAGAGAGGGAGTGGAGTGTTGACGTTTGAGACTGTACAATGAGTTGAGAAGATGAGTTCCAAAGTGTTGATGGGTAGCAGAAAGTGTGAGCATGGAGGAGGAGGTCATAAAAAGCTATTTGGAGGCTTTGGAGCTAGTAGGGGCATCCATAAAGCTGTTAGTCTCCAAGAATAACAGAGGGGGTGGCAGAGGACAGGAGGTGGGGGAGCTATGCTGAAAGGTGCTCAATGAATGGGCCAGATTGACCAGGAAGGACAATAAATAACTGCAACTCAAAGTGCATAGGGGCACCTGAAAGGTGCAGTGAGGTGAGAAGTAGACCAACACCGCTGCCTTTGTGGTGTCCATGTCTTGGAGTGTGTGAGAATTAAAGGCTGCCATATGAGAGAGGAGCCAAGTTCCAGTGAGGGCCAGGAGATGGAGTGAGTTAGCAATAAATAAAAAAAGTCATGCGTGAGGGAGTACTTGGTAGCGCTGCAGATGGAGCGGGAGTTCCACAGGACGCAGTGAAATGGGGGAGAAGAGGTGGGATGGGAGGGAATTTTAATTAAGTTGTGGGGAGTTCCTACCAAGATGTCGCTGAAGGGGAGCAGGTCCTGGGTTAGGGGAGATATCCCCAGGTGCCAGAATCAGAAGAAGGGATAGTGAAAAAGGTGAGAATGAGACTTGAAGGTGTGTGTGGAGGATTGAGCTATAAGAGAGCGGATAGTGGAAGGGGGAAGGAAAGAATGGAGTGTATGGGTGTAGAGAAGTGGTGAGGGTAAAGGGGAGGGAGAGATGAATGGAGCATTAGGTATGATAGGTAAATGGAACATAGATGGTGCTTTAAATAATGGGGAGGCCACAGTGAAAGCAGTGGGGAAAAAAAATAGATAACATGGTAAGTATGGAACAGTATAGGAAATGAAGAGTAGCAGGTACAGAAAGGTGTAAGTATGCAGGGAGAGAGGTAGGGAAGAGGATAGTGGGATTGTATTACAGATCCAACTACATTGGCCTATACACATACAGCACAGCAATGATTTAATAAAATGAACTAGGATAACCGTAATCCAACATGTTATTAATCTCAGGTGCCCCACTCAATGTGGCCGCCGCTTGAGTGGGGCAACTCAGAATAATAACGTGCTGGATTAGTGTGATCCTAGTTCATTTTATTACTTCATTGCTGTGCTGTATGTGTATAGGCCAATGCTTACTTCAGAAATAATGATGCTATTAATCATACATTTTCATATCCTCCTATTTTATTATACTATTAAATAGTGTCACGCTGGGCTCCCTATAGAGTAAATCTATTTCCTCAATAATGTATCACTCAAGGCATACCGCTGCTCCACATTCCTTCAAAAAACTTCTGCTACGTGCCGCCAGGGAAGCTGTGATTGGCTGGAAGTGACAATGACTGAAGTTGAAATACCATAGGGCACTTTCCTTGAGAAGATCAAATATCTTTTATGGGCTCATTCCACCATGCGGTGCATAAGAATAATTATGATGCGCAAAGTGCATTAACCCCTGGTAACCGCCACATTCTGGTCTATTGGATTACATGAGACAAATTCTTACTTGTTGATAGATTGTCCTGTACTTTGTTCTTATCAAAGAGTTTGTCCCCCTCTCCCGTGCTCCCCTTCCCTGTCTGGAAACGCCTGCAGTGTGTGTATTTTGCTTTTTTTATAGTTACCTTTCCTTGTGTCTTCAGGCCAGTCATGACATAAGCGATGTCCTCTTGCTCGTCAAAATTTCCCCAACCATGGGTAGTCCTCACGATCACGAGTGGCACACAAGTGCAGCCGGCCCTAGTGGCTGAGTCGGCTAACGAAGGGAAGGGGGAGGAGTACGGTGACGTCCTCCCCCCTTCCCTTCGTTAGCCATCACGGACATCGACCTCACCGAACTCCTCCCCCCTTCCCTTCGTTAGCCGACAGAGCCACTTGGGGGGGGGGGGGGTCATCTCCGGATCTCTAACGGAACTCCCGGAAGAGGCGAGTACCGATCAAATAAATTAACGATTAATCGAGGAATTCTCTCTCTCTCTCTCTCCCTCTATATATATATATATATAAGTGCATTGCTTGTACCTGTGACTTTGGCAGACTTCCTTGTGCTACGAAGTTTAAAGTGTGCTGCTTGGTGAGAATGATGTACATCTAGACCAGCTTCTTGGACAGCCATTGCTGGAAAAAAAAAATAATAATAATTCCGTTCTATTATAAGCAAAGGTTTCTGTACACAATGCAATCATTTATCATAACACACGGATCTGAAGCCACCACACACTTCATCATGCAGAAAAGCCAGCTCTGATTTTTTTTTCTGTATGCAAGAAAACCTGCTGAACTGTGCTCAGTGTGCATTGCAGGTGCAGTTCCATTAAAGTAAAATGACGCTGTAGCCATGCAGGACTGTGCACATACTGCCCTTTTATGCAGGCAAAGGACCTACCCAAGGACCAGTTTCTAGGTAGGTGTCGTGTGCATTTTGTTCCATCATGGGAGTTATTGGAGAACCAGAAGGAAACCTGCACAAACAGTACATTCTAACTTTAATACAGTCATTTCCTGTTGCATTTTTACGCAATGACCTATGGACACAAAGGCAGCTTTTAAGAGCTGAAGTGCGCAAATGCATCAGGCTGAGGGCAAGATCTGCCATTAAGAATAATGGGAGCACCAGGCTTCTGTGTTTCTCTGTGGCTGTTCACTTTATCACAGCACATGCACTAAGCTAAATGTGCACAGTTTAGCTCCAGAATGTCTGCTCTGGACACGCCACGCAGGAAACCGCTTATATGGGGTCCTATTAGGGTTAATGTTGCACAGGATGGGTTGGGGAAAGGGGGTGTTAGTTGTTTACTCAAAGTACACTTCTCTCTCCACAAATTTTTGTTAAAGCAGTTTGTCATATTTTCTTTAAATGTATTATTCCACGTATGTAAAAGTCGCACTGAAGAGGACTTGTGGCTTTTTTCTTTTTTCCTTTTAATTTATTTATATAGCACTTAATATTCCACAGTGTCTATATCCACATCTAATGTCCATACCACATTGATAGAAATGTTTTTTATTTACCTGTAGGTTAATATTTGTATGCTTTCTCCTCCAGGCAAAGAAGAGGAAAAGATCAGAGCGGTTTGGCATAGTTTAGTAGTTCTCACCTGCTAAATCTTCAAAATCTTTTTGTTTTGTGCATCTCAACTTAGTATTGTAAAATGTTTTTCTTATTCTTGATTTGTAAGGATTTGTTTTTTAAAACTTTTAAAAACCAAAAAAAAAGAAACTGAATAAAACTGGTGTGTATTCCTAATTCGGTGTGTGTATTTTGGATTGTTTATTGGTTCCTGATTGTCTGCTGTTATGGTTACTGAATTATGCTGGTTCTGTAACTCTTGCTCCACAAATGAGCAGTGTTAATACTTTTATCGCTGTGTATGAAGAGGTGCTGGTACTTTTTGCTCCTATCATTAGATGATGGAATGCCGGAGGAGGATGTTAACAATGCTTTCCTATTCCAGTGTTGGAAGTAGGCTAGCACTAATTACAAATGGACTTTTTATACATCTGGCAATTCATTACTTTACAACACTGACCTCATTCAGGCTTTATCCCGCATTCAACCCCACACACCCTTAGGCTCACTGCCGAATGCTTTATTACCTCAACTCCCATTTGTCACAATTACAGGTTTCTTTTATTTCTTTGTCCCTGAGTTTTTTTTTTTTTTGTTTTTTTTTTTTAAATGATGTAGCCAAGAAAACCGAGAAATAATCGGATACCAAGTGGCATTTACAAATATTTTGTCTTTGACAGATCTATAGGACCTGCACAGTTTAGTTTTCTGCTCTATGGACATTTGTAACTTCTGATTTTATATTTTATTTTCAAACCTGCAAGACTTTGATGTCCATACATTCTTTTTTTTGGGTCAGTGACAGCTGGAGTCCAGGGTTACTGAAACTATCATCTCCTGATCTTCCAATCCTGCTACATACTTCTCCATATAATAGCTTTGTAGCACAATGTAAACACAAAGTGTCTCCTCGAGTAAAATGGGACAGTATAACCATACAGGTTATGGTGAGAAAGGACTAAAGCAATGAAAAAGCTCTCATTCTAATCAGTGCATAGTACAGAAAAGCTTTTTTTAAACTGAAGGCATTTACATGTCTTATTCCAGCTAAAGCCGACCACCGAGTACTAGGTTGGGGGCCCTCCCTAAGGGAGACCCCCCCCTCCATTCAGAGGAGGAAGGAACCTAATGGCCACACATCCTCCCCTAGACATCAGGGTAGGCCCGAAGACCCACACCCTCCATCCTGTGGGGTGAAAAATATGCACATACAGTGAAGAAAAAAAAAAGGCCAATGTGCAATACCATATCGGTATCCAGGCTATTTTAGCCATTGTTAGTATAGCTTATGGAAACCATGGCTCCTATGTAGGTACAGGGACCCAACGGGACAGTGTAACCATTAATGGTTTGAAACGGGTGTATGTCACAGTCCTTGTACCCACAAAATATGCCTCAGAGACCCTATCAGCAATTCAAGCTTTTTGTATACTTTTATTCAAAATGAAGCGTAATAGATGCACTTTTTTCAATTTGTTGGTGCAGGAAATACAAGCTTAAAACAAACACTTTCATTGATTCTTACTATTGATAAGTAGGGAGTCTCTCCAGAGCTATATGCAAGCGGAGACTTGAGAGCTGAATTATACATGCAGCTGTGTCTTTTGCAGAGCTTATAAATAAAGAAAGCAACACATCTGCTTTTAAATTTTAATAGAAATGTAAAAAAGACTGAATTGGTGACAGGGTCCCTTTTTTAAATGCTGTGCCACCATCAAGAGTCTCAAACACACATCAACCTCAGCACAAACATTGTTAAAAACAAACATTATTATTCAGTATTTATATAGCGAAAACAATTAAAGCAGTTTACAAAATGGAGGGAGACCGTAGAGTTGCAATACAATTTCAATATAGGAGGGCCCCATGAGCTTACAAGAGGGGTAAGTGATACAAAAGGTAATATTTGTTTAGGATGAGCTAACTGAAGTTAAAGGACAGTTATATTGAGGTGGGATAGGCTTCCACAAGGAGATAAGTTTCAAGGATCACCTGAAAGTGAACAGAGTAGGAGATAAGCAGACAAATTGGGGTAGGGAGTTCCTTGATAGGAGAGGCTCTGGAGATGAGAATGGGAGGAGGTGACGAGGTACATAGGTTGAAAAAAGGCACAAGTCCATCGAGTTCAACCTATAGAGGGGAAAAAAGAAAAACCTAGAACAGAATGTTATACCCATAGTTACCCACTGTTGAAGTTAGCTGGAGAGCAGGAGGTCTTGAAAGGAGCAAAGAGGACAGTTTGGGTGATATTCTGAGGAGGTTTGTTATGTAGTTTTTGCAGAATTGTAGATGGCTTTGTATGTTATCGTTAGTATTTTGAATTTTATTAATTGGGCAAATGGGAGCCAGTGGAGAGAGCGGCAGCAGCAGACACTGAACAGTTGGTCAGGTGGATGAGTCTTGCAGCAGTTTTCATGATACACTGAAGGGTGGATAGCCTGTGTAGTAGTACGAGGGAGTTACAATAGTTGAGGCGAAAGATGACAAGGGAGTGAATTTCAAGCTTTGTAGTGTCTTTTTGTTAAAAGGGTGAGTTTTGGAAATGTGGCAGCTGAGTCGGCAAGATTGGTTAGTGATTGGATGTGGGGCTTAACTGCCTCCGGGCCGGCCGTAGTGAAAAAACGTCCGGCTGGGAGCTCTCTAGATCTGAGTGGGCGTCTTTAGACGTCCGCTCAGACATGCCCCCGGCGAGCGGGAAATTGCCGTTATTTAAAAACAGGCAGCGATGCCTGTTACCATACAAGCGATCCGCCTTCTGTAGAGCCGGCGGATCGCGTGTATGGGGTGCCGATCGGTGTGTATGTCCCCCGCCGCGGTCCCCCCTGATGTCTCCATAAAGAGCACCTGTCACATATTTTGCTATCACATAGGTGGGTGATATAAGTGATAGCAATAAAGTTTAGTGAAAAAAAGGGAAACAATTTTATTTCCCCCCCCCCCCCCCCAAAAAAAAAAAATATTTTTAGTTACATGCTATAGTTTATTTTTGAAGTGGAGTTACCCTTTAGTGGACCAAACACTTTTGTCAGGAATGTTTAATTACAGTACAGCTTATAGAGTGCAATGGTCAGGAGTATGTTATGTCATGTACAGCATACAGAGTGCAGCTGACATACTGTAATTATGTAACCTGCAACAGCACAGTGTGCAGGGCATTGCCATCAGAAATATGTGTATGTACTTGGCATGTTGCATAATCCTAACCACTGCCTTATGTATGCAGTGTCATACGTATAGCAGCCATTTGTTTAAAAACCACCGCTTTGCTCCTCCCCTCACCACAGCATGTACAGGTGAAACTCGAATAATTAGAATATCGTGCAAAAGTAATTGCAGTAAGTGCTGCAAAAGGGGCCCAAACCAAGTACTGAGTACATATGCATGCTTGTACTTTTCAGAGGTCCGATATTGTTCTATGTACAATCCTTGTTTTATTGATTGCATGTAATAATCTACTTTTTTGGGGTTCTTGGGGTTTTCATGAGCTGTAAGCCATAATCATCACAATTATGACAAATCACGGCTTGAATTATCTTGCTTTGCATGTAATGAGTCTATCTCATATATTAGTTTCACCTTTTAAGTTGCATTAGTGAAATAAATGAACTTTGCACGATATTCTAATCGAGTTTCACCTGTATTTACCTGGTCATATGGGTCGAAAACCTGATCCTCTTGCTGTGATTTCTCACATCAGATCATGCAAGCCAGCAGAGGAACCTGCAGTGGGGAAGCAAGTACGCACCCAGAAATGTACCCAGAGTACATCCTGTTACTGGGGGAAAGTTTTACTTTAACAGGGAGGGGAGGGGGGTCAGCTATCCACTGGACAGATTTGAATGGGATAAAGTGCTATGTGCTCTAGGTCCCCTGGGGGATTCAACAAAACATTTCAACTTATGGCAATACTTCTTACTTAAAGAAATTCTAATCACCATAGTTCCTGGCACAGAGGGGTGGGATTTTCTACACACCACATTGCTTAAGGTTTCAGAGGAACCTATAACAGTTGCTTCTGTGGTGGTACATGCATCTAGCAAACAGACTAGCCATTTATGTATCACAACCAATTGGGATGCTAAAAAATAGAGATAGAAAGTAGGTAAGGCCCATCCTACCTTCTCCAGTTGTAGTTGTAGCGTTTGGCTAGAAATACAGGGATTTTGTTGGTTCAAAAACAATGTACAAATAAATATGGTTTCAGGAGTCTGACTTGTGTAGTTTAGAAAAATATAAAGTAACTTTGGCAGAAAAATAATTTTAAGGAGATTCAAATATCGGCAGGATCATGTCTTGGTCTTTTTTGTGATGCAGTTTTGATGGGGGTTAAACTATTTTCAGGGGCAGCTCCAATACAATACCTGCATTTTATAGTTATGTTGTGTAGTGGGGTATATGTGGTTTACAGTATCTACAGTATGTCTAGCAGAAAAAAAACTCCCAATTAGTGCAAAACCCAGCATAATCCCAAAGTCATTGATTATATGTAGGAGATAGACCAGTGATTGGTCAGGGTCAGCGTCATCTGCATATAATGACACACCCTCCTCAAGGATATGGATTTGGAGGCCTTTTAGTGATGTTGATATGCAAATCTGAATCCATTTATGGCTCTATTTCCTGAGGTAGTAAGTGGGGAGATAAGGGGCATCACTGCCTTGCTCTCTACATACGGTATGTTAAATTGGTCAGCAAATAGTTTATTCATTTGAATTCTGGCTACTTGATCAATGTATAAAATATGTATACATTACATTTTATCAGGACCAATTCTGTATAGAGGTAACGGATGATTAGACCATTCTACACTATCAAAGGCTTTTTTTTGTCTAATGACACTAGAGCTCTGCAGCCCTTGTCAGGAACTGGGTACCGCAGATTCATAGAAAAGCATCTAATATTAATTTTTGTGGCCCTGCCTGGGATAAATCCTGTCTGATCACTACCGATCAACCTATTAATTTATCTAAATAGCAATCATTTTTGCCAGCATTTTGACATCAGAATTAATAACAGAAATTATGCGATTGTACTCATATTTAGTAAGGTTCTTACTAGTTTGCAGTAAGAGGATTATGATATCTTGGCATATTGAATTAGAGAGT